CAAGCCGGGTCAGTTTCAGGCCTATGAAACTATTAACCAGGCCGGCTCATTTCTTAACTGGTGTAAACCAATACAATTACCTGGATCAGGTCAACGAGCTTGAGCCCAAGTACTCCAGGGCTGGCCTTTTCGATAAGAACCCCTAGCTCAACTCGGTGGAGTTTTTATGAAGAGTTAGAAATTAACAACAATTACTTTTTAAGTTGGTTATATGTTAAATTAAATGTCAGTTTTAGATTAAAAAAAGTAAAATATTGTTTAAAAAATATGTGATTATCTATTTTAGTGAAGAATCCAATAGCCTTAATTTAGAAAATGCCCTTTTCAAACAATGAAGGAAATATTATAATTTGCATACTAAAATTACCGCATTGTTATTTATCATGTTGTGAAACTGGCGCATAATGGTTGCTACCTCACCAACTAACAAACCTTGTGCCGTACAAAACCTTATCCCATGACTTTCATCTAACAACAGCGGTGCCATCTAGAGATGTAGAAAGAAAGTGGGGTAGGGAGATGGTGGGTTCCAAAAGGGGCAAAGGGTGTGAAAAAGGATAGGAGACAGGGTGGTGGGATGGCAAGAGAAGATGGTATTAGGCTAGAAGGCATTGAGAAACGTAAGGAAACCTTATTAGAGAAGTTGTGCGCAAAATTATTAGAGTCGAATGGGAAGGATGAGATGGAGGTGGTGGTCAAACAAGATGAGAATGATGTGCTAGTTGAGAAAGGATGATGTCTATTTGGTTGATTGCCTACATACTAGGAAATTTTGAAATGTAACAATGATGACAAAGATCCTAAAATATTTTTTAATTATGTTGTGAGTTTTAGAGATTTAGGAAGTAGGCGATAGCTAGGGTATTTATATGTTTGTGTTTGAGTAGCTATTTGATCAAGATTTTATGCTAAAGATTTTGTCCTTTTTTTCTATTTTACCTAAAATACCAAAAAATGGGAAAGAAGTTCAAATTGGGTGTCTTGCCCACTCTAGGCACATTCCATTTCTCGATCTCTACTTCCTTTTATAGAGTAAAAGCATGAATTATATCCTTAACAATACAAGAAGATATGAAATTTTAACCAAATAGTCAACTTAAATAGCTGCATTTCAAATACAGTAACTAAATCAAAGCATAGAATGTTGTTTTCCTATTTTGTTCGGCTACTTGTACAATTTTTGTGAATTGGAAAAAAAAAAATTACCAGATTAAACATCTAGCCAATATGACATTTCCATATATTCAAAATTTTCTATCAATTGATATTTAATTTAAGGGAAATGTTTGGTATATCCTCCGATTTAACATTCAGTTCAACACTTTTCAATTTAGTCATTAAAAATATAATATAAATACAGTCAATTTAGTCGGTTCATATATTCTGTGTACATGATTGTATTATTATACTTGTCTGTTTTTAATTTCAGACTAAAAAATAGTGATTTTTTAATGATTAAACTGGAAGGTGTTGAATTGGATGTTGAAATATAAGATGTACCAATCATTTTCCTTAATTTAATCATCGGTAAGATCCTATATATATGTAGAATGTTCATTTAAATGATTGTATTGTGGTAGCTAGTTAGAGTTTTAAGTTTCAGGCACGTAGAGTAGATTAAGAATGAGTCTAAGCACTGTGATTGTCATGGCTCTAATGCTTATCTTTGCAGGGTATGCAACAGCAGATTTCGATCGTCAATGCTACAAGGATTGCCTGAGGAAGTTTTGTCAAGTTCCAGAAAGTCCAGAACCATGCATCGATCTTTGTATTAGAAACTGTGTGCCTCACAGTCCTACCAATGCTACTGTTGTTTACTATTGCAACCTTGGGTGTTCTCTTGATCAGTGTACACAGTTTGGCAATGGTATTCCTTCCTTATCCTTTCTATCCCTTCATTTTTCTCAATTATTTTCACATACCACATTTTGTTTTCTCTTATCATGTTCCAAACTACATATTATATAACTCCTCTTATGTTGTATTAATGGTGGTTTTTTATGCAACAGAAGTGATGAAAGTTGGGAGTTGTGTGGACGATTGCTTTAGTAACTTCTGCAACAAGCACTCTTAGTCTCTTTTACTTGGATATTTTCATATGTATGTTTGGCTAGAAATGTGATTGCAACACCAAAAAATAATAACAGTAAAGTTGTCTATTATACGGTCAAAATTGTCTATTGCTATTATTATTATTGTTATCATCATTAGAAGTTGTAAAAAAATAAGGCGTTTTAACATTAATAATATCATAATATTCAATTACAATCACATGATAGATATGACATAATATATATTTCAATTAAATTTTATTCATTATGTGGTTAAAATTAAACATCTTACCTTATTTAATATTAAAACATCTTGATTTTTACTTTATTATTATTATTAAGCCACCCAACCAGCCTTTACAGTTTTTTTTTTTTTTTTGACAAAAAAAATACTAGGTTAGTGAGTTAGTATCTGTTCAGGATTAAAATCGAATCAAAGATCGGACGAACTCTATTTGCTATTCGTGGAGTAACGTGACCTATCCACTGGATGATATAGGGGATTTCAACTAGCCCTTATAGTTTAAAAAAAGAATTCACTCCACTAAGTATTTTTTTTTAATGATTTATTTTCTTTAATTTTATATTAAAAAGATTATATAAAATTTCAAAAATTTAACCTTCAATAGTAAAATTATGATCGATTTAGTGGAATAATTTTAATTTTAATTTTAATAGATTTTAAATTAAATTCTTATTGCTTCAAGTTTTGAAACTAATAACATTTATTTTAATTTTTATTGATTAAAAAGAATAAAATGAAAAGTTACACAGTAAAGAGTTACTTATTTAGTGGATTGAGTCATTTTTTTGTATTAGGAGATCTAATGTTGAATTCCTTTCTTTGTATTATTTCTTTTGATTTCTAACTTACTTTAAAATTTAGAAAAGAAACTAAAAATTAAAAAAAAAAAAAATTTAATGAGCACGGGCCTGAACAGTTCCCCTTTGGATCTAGTTTTTGGCCCATGAAACCATGTGATTGGCTCATTACTAAGCTAGTTTGAACCAGTCCCGTGGCCAGGATCAAGTCAACGGGCCAGAACCTGAGCAGTTCTGGGCTGGCCCATTGAGTAAAAACCCCTACTTTGGTGGAGTTTTTATGGAGTTGCTAAGCATTTAACAAGTAGTTTTCAAGTTGTTCATCCGTTTAGTCATCTATCATTTTAGAATAAGAAAGGTAAAATATTGTTTAAAAACTTTGCTAATTAGCTATTATAGTGAAGAATCTAATAGACTTAATTTAGAAAATGCCCTTTTCAACCGATGGAGAGAATTGTAATTTGCTTATTAAAATGATCAAATTGTTACTCATGGGGGGGGGGGGGGTGTGTGGTTAAATTGAAGCATAATAGTTGCTTCCTTACCAACCAATGAACTTTGAGACATACAAAATGTTATCCCATGACTTTCATCTAACAAGAAGGATGCCACCTGGAGATGTACAAAGAAATTAGTGCAAGGGAGCTAAGGTGTTCCAAAAGGGTCTAGGCGTGTGCAAAATGACTAGAGCGTCGGAGGTGGGATGACAAGAGATGATGGTATTAGGCTAGGAGGCATGCAGAAGGTCAAGGAAACCTCAGAGGAGTTGTGCACAAAATTATCAATCTCAATAAAGGAGGATGGGATGGCCAAACAAGATGAGAATGATGTGGCAGTTGAGATGGATGAGTACTCTTTGGTCGGTCACCTATACGAGGAAATTTGCAAAGATAGTGGTGACAGGAATGCTGAAACATGTTCGAACGATGTTGTGAAGTTTGGAGATACGGGAGGTAGGCGATAGGGTATATATATTTGTGTTTGATTAGCTATTTGAACAAGATTCTATGCTAAAGTTTATATCCTTATTTTTTTTATTTTGCCTTGAATAAATGGAAAGAAGGTTCAAGTTTGATTGCCTCCCCACTTTAAGTGCTGGGTTTAAGAGATTGCAGCAAAAGCAAAATATTAAAAATCCTTATAAATCCACTGACGGTTAGGGAAGGTTGATCAATATCTTAAGGATACGTGCCTCGTTGGTGTGTTGCTCTCGCCACCATCCTTTGATGAACCCTCCAAGGGTTCAAATGTAGAACTCCTTTAGCAGTAATCCACACATGCACTTAGTGATTTGAAAAGACTAGATCTCCAAAGGTGATAGCAATCAAAAACCAAGTTGGCCTCATTCCTCCTAGTAGAGAATGAATTTTAGTGGTCTTGAATTCTATAATACAAATCAAGGATATTGTGTTTTCTACACCTATTTACATTAATATGGAATAAAAAGACTTGCTATTTTAATCCAATTAGAATTCTCAAACTTAGTCTTCCAATTGAAATAGAAAACCTAGAATGAAAAAACTTTCCTTCTCTATTTTGTCCCTCTCGCCACAAACTCTAGTCCATATTGGACTAGGAGTTTTCACTAGGGCTTCCTTGCACTCCTATGCTACACAACCCTCTTTCAATATGGGTTAGGTTCAGCCGATAAGTCCTCCTAGGACTTAAATGTCAGTTTGGATTTTTCTTATTCTAAACTTTGAATTGATTAAATTAAATTAATTCTCTCTACTAATTTAAATCTAGAACTTAATTAATTTATTTATCTTACGAAATTAATATTTTCACATAAATTAATCAATATTCATAAACTTGGATTTATAGAGGATCCTAATTGCCATAATGCACTAAGTGTGTGACCCTCTAAGTTTTTATCACGATGGTAATAAAAAACACTCATAAATCAAGAGCAGTATCAAACAACACATCAGGGTCACCTAGAGTGATAAAAATGTCAATGGCCTGTACAAACCCACCTAATACAAATGCATTTGTGTAATGCAATTCCTTTGTCACTAATATCTCAATCAAGCAAAATGCAATGCTATGTGTTATCATCCTTAAAGCTTAATATGTTTTCTATGATTCCCAAGATAGACATAATTCTTGAATGAAACTTCAATCTTGTCATGGTTATAAACTTTGCAAGTAGTTTCAGTTGAATCAAAGAGCTAGAGATATAGGAGTTAATCCAATGCACTCACTAACTTTGAGTCACCCATATGTAATACATGACTTTATGAGAAGAAGGCTTGCCACCTAGCAAGATATCAAACATAGTAGTCTTTATATCATTGATATCTCATCTCAATGATATATACTATTAATAGATAATTTAAGAATGTTGTTATTACATCATATAGTTCTCACTCATGATGATGGTTGTTATTGTGTTTTAATGCAATAGACATCTTAAGAACTTTATCAATATTAACTCACATATAAGAATGATAATTAACATGTGATAAATAAATGTCTCATACATAAATATAAATGTTATAATCACAAGTACAATAAAGTTGGCTCAAAGGCAAACTGTATCACTCTTGTCACATTCTATTTCTTGATTGCTACTTCTTCTTGTGGAGCATAAGCATGAACCATATCCCACTGTTTTGAAAACCGACTTGGCTTATTTGGTTCAACTTGTTGAACTAGACCCAATTTTAAAAGTGGGTTGGGTGATGATAATAATCCATTTAAAATTAAAACAAATCAAAACCTGTTTAGACTCGATCAAACCCACTTAGATACGATCAAATTCGCTTAAACTTGGTCAACTTGGTT